AGATGGTTGAACAAACATTAAGTGACTTTCACCCTATAGGTGCAGAAAATACTGAAACAAAATTATACCTCCAATGGGGTTCTGCACCACCAATGCCACCAAAGATACTCCCTAGCTACACAGGAGATGAAAATGTCAATTGTGTCCAGGTCTTCTGTAGGAGCAATTTGGGAAACTCTTCCCAAAGGCAAACTAACAAGACATTATCAAGGTCAAAAGTATCAAAGGGTTTCAAATCAGTATGACCTATCAGAAAAGAACTGAAGAACACATTCAAAACATACCACCGCAAAAGGAAGAAAAGCCTGAAACCCTATACCTGGGAAAGGTGTGGTTCATTTAAAATGCAAAACAAAAAGATGACCATTGCAATCTTATCAAAGTTTGCTGTTTTGTGAAGACTTTTCACATTTTTCCAGATATCTAACCTAGGAAAAGTTTCTCCATAACATGTGACTCAGTTACAAATTCACAGAACATCTAACAGGAGCCATGGTAGTAAATGAATGAGAATAGTAGAATGTTTATTGATCACACCATGGTATCTCTACCATACATTATTTTAAGGTCTTCTTCTTTAAAGTCTTCAATGTTTCATGTTGAAACTGCTTTTGATATTATGTGAACAGTGCCAAAAGCAAGAACCAAGCAGCCAATTTCCCCAGCTGCAGAAGCTAATACCCAAACATCCATTCACGCCACGGAGAGCTGAAGGGTGCAGGTGATCCTGGGCATTTTACAAGCAGGAGATGGCAGTATTCACTTAATGTCAGCTGTCAGATCCAGGAGTCATCCAAGTCAGTTGACAGTGAATCCAAGTTCCAGCAAATACCAGCCCCAGCAGCTCCTCCTGGTTCTGCTCCACTTGGCCAGGTACCAACAGTCTCCTCAGCAGTCATATGGCACAGCTTCAGCACAGGAACCACACTTGAACAACTCAGAAGCCACACAGGCACAGAGCTGCTCATCTTTATGGTATTTGCAGTAGTTAAAACACTGCTGTAAAGAAAATCTTTGCTCTAGACCTACTTGTGTTTGTGCCTCATTGGTGCTTTGGAAGGACAAATAAAACCTACCCGTTCCCAACATTTCTTGCATGACCTTAGACTTACCTGATGAAATGCTCTTAAAGCCGAGGAGTCATTATATAGCCAGAGAAAATGCGTATGTTGGAGAGAGTCGTAGCTCCAGTGGGGATGATAACAATGAAAATTGCTGGATGTAGCAAAATCTCAGATGTAGTAAGCAATCCTTAAAACCAAACCAATGAAAGAGTAACTCTTAGAAACACCAGTTGTTACTCAGCACATTCACTAGACCTGAAATAAGAGTACTCTGACTTCCTCACAATCCCAACAGATTTGAGTTATTATCAGAATCAGCAGCTCTGCCATCCAACAACCAAACCTCAAAAGTGAGAGCTTCCAGGCAGACAACATAATCTCCTGTAAGGATTATGGATCTCATAGTCACAGATGTCACTGTCAGGTGACATCTCCAGTCCTTTTTTGTAGAAAGAAAGCCTGTAGATATATGTTGAGGAGAGGTGTGGGAAAATTAGTTCTCTGAGTTGAAGAATCTGCCCCAGCAAAGCCTGTGTGTTTAAAAAGAAGGTAAGACACTAGAATAAAATCTTCCTTCCTTCATTCTTTTTTCTTTTCAGTTTAACATCCTTCTTATAATTTTTAAAGACTTCTTGAATTGTTAAAATATCACAATTTATATGATAAGATCTGAAAAGTGAGTTTTTCATCTAGGAGTATAGTTTTACATTTTGGTCATAAATCCCTCAGAAAGGGAATTTATAGTGCTCACGCTGACACTCTCTTAATTACAGCATT